TGAGACAGGTTACTGGGCCACATTTCCCTTAGTGTGGTGCAGTGCAGCTCTTTTATGTCAGCTGCTCCTGGTAGAATTTGGAGGAACAGAGCTAGAACTTGGGCTTAAATGGGTAGTCACTAAATTTGTAAGCTCTGACCCCCCCAGTGGAAACATCACTTGTTTTCACTCCTTCCATGTCTTAAGTTCATGTCTTTCCATCTCCTGCCCCCTCACAGTTTGGATTTGGCATTTGTTACGGGAGCAGAACAATGAAGAATTGGTATAAGGGGAAAAGGAAGTTATGTGCTAAGAGATGGTGCCTAAATTGCAGACAAATTTCAGCTTGTTCAGAGGACATAGGCATGAAGTCCACAGATGTGTGGCTTTCTTCTAGAGACCCACCTCCAAAGAGCCATTTCTTTTTGTTACAGTACATGAAAACCCTTCAAGTTCTCATCTGCATTAATAGCTGCTGCTTTGTATGGGTATACATATTAAAGCCACTCCAGAGCTGCTTTTTTGAGAAATTCTAATTACGAATCTGCACTGAAACTACTGATGTTTCAGGCTTTTGCAAAAGCAGAGCTCAGGCTTCTTAGCAATACCAGATTGTGACATTCTCCAGATATATACACGTGTGGTTTCTGTCTAAAGCCACTGTGGTTAGCATTTAGCAATGTGACTTCTCCGATGAAGTAAACACCTTTTGCCTCTGTCACTCTTCTTGTTTCACTCTCTCAAGCTTGTCAGTAAGAAACTAGTTTTGGAAGAGATTTCTTCTGCCTCGCAAAGCATTGGAGATTATTCACCAAAATGAATTTAGCCACTTTACTTGTTTGTCAGATATAGAAATCAAATGTCCATGCATTTATTGTTGATCACAGAAGTGCAGGCTTCTCCCAGGCATTGCTGTTTGCCAACAAACTTAAGCCCAGTTGTCCTGGATTAGACCAGTGTAGGGGAAAACACTGTAGTTCAGCAAAGTGGGCATTTGCTTGGTCTGCAGTTAAGGCTGGCAAATTGAAGAGGTATCTCTGGATGCTCGCTGCTTAGTAGATTTTTTTTTTTTCCCCCCTCTAGAAACACTGCAGTACCATTAATTTACTCCCACCAAACTGGTAAATCTATCTGCTGTTGAGATGATGTTTTTCAGAATTCAATGACTATTATAGGTTTGTTCTTCCAAAGGATGCTGGCTTGCAAACAGGAATGGAAAATGTGAGTGAAGTTGATCAGAAGGATCCAAATAAACATCCTGTGAATTTGTAGAAAGTAACAGATGTATAAAATTAATATGATAGCTTTTTTAGTCATACTTGTTTCTCTCTGAGGTGTGTCTCCCTTCCTGGGTAACTTCCTGCCACCACATCAACACGAAAACCTGTTGCACTTATTTTCAAAGTAATGAAGCTATGGAAAATAGACATTTCAAATCTGACTTGCCTCAACTACCACACATCTACAGATCTGACCATGAGGGAAATAAATACACAGAGTTTTCAAAAGAGGTGGGATACACTTTTTGTTAAGGGAAAGGATGGTGTGAACCTGCAGCAATCTTTGTTCTGAGCTCAGTTTTGATGCTTTACTGCTGAAATCATCAAGAAGGCTTTTATATTGATTAAACAGGAGTGGGACCAAGTTCTCAAATTTAAAAAAAAAAGAAAGAAAAAAAAAAAGCCAAACCTTAAGAAGTCCAGCCTGACCTTAGACTTAAATCTTAGCATCAGGAAGAGCAGAGTACATATAAGAAGTATGAGAGTCAGAAAAGAATAAAAAAATTTAAAATGCCCAGTATCATACAGTCTTCAAAAACAACTTTGTGGCAGCCTTTTTATGTCTTCATTTCATGCTTGCAGTTATTATTTTTTATTTCCCACATTACTATTGCTGTCAGTTCATTCTGCCTTTTGTATTTGCTTTCCCAGCTAAGATCTGCTATTTTTCTCCTTTAAAAGCTTTATTTAGACTTGATACTGACTGCTTTCCTTCGCTTACCTTTCCTTTCTCAGCCACTTGGCTGAAGAGGCAGCCTCTACTGTTCTTAAAAAGCTTTTGAGATATGTGGTTACCTCCACTATTTTCATTCTGCTTCATTTTTGTGGGAGAATTTAAAAACCTGTTGTTCAACCAGTAAATATCTTTTCCATATGTTGGTCACTTTTTTCATGGATCAAAATGTGCCACTGGATACTGCAAATCATCTCACCATCTAATGTATCTGGTTATGTAGGTATCTCTGGTTGTCACAATTCCAGCTTCCTTTCACTTTCTGCCTTGATGTACTAGCTAAGACGTATCCTGTACGTTCCCTTCTCACTGCTAAATTAAATTCTCATTTTGTACCTGTATTTACATTTCTTATCTCTGCCTTTAACAATGACACCTCTGTATCCCCAATACTCAGCTGTACAAACCTTTCAGTGATTTATCCTACTGGCTTTTGTGTCTTGAGATACAAAGGTCTAGCATTGTTTCCAAACTGCTGCAGTGAATCTTTCTAGGCCTGAACTGTTTCACTTGGACAAGAACTGCTTACTCAAGACACTTCTCTGCTAACTTCTCTCTTTATTCAAGCCTCTTTCACTTTATTTGCCTCTTCCACTTGTGACTTTGATATGGTCATCAGTAACCTTCACCTTGCATTTTCTGTCATTGGCACCTACATCTGCAAATCTGCCCTCCTCACAGAAAGTAGGAAGCCCCAAAGGGAGGGAGCCTTGTATTTCTGCATGCTTGTAAAATGTGCAATAAACCTCATCTGCATAGCTGGATCTAACATCTGGACTCATATATGCTGTGATCTTTTCAGAAGGATTTTTGTCTTACGTCTTGGCTACCGCTTCCTCCTTTTTCCCTGTACTCATCTTTAAGTTCACCATTGAAGAGCACTGTAGTAAATGCAAAGAGGCAGAATTGCACCACCTCTATCTTTTCACACCTCTGCTGTTACTGGCATGCCTTTCTTAACCCATTTCGAGCCTCTTCTAACATACACGCGGGCTGTTCAGGCACCTCCGCAGCATCGGGGGCTGCTTACACCAATGCTTCTGCTTGCCTCAGTTCTGTCCCTTTATCGGATCAAACGAAATTCTGACTTGCATCTTCCTATCGCGGTTATTTTGCACTGTAAGACAACAGGGCTGGGTGAGGACTCCTTGACTGGGTGGGGATTCCCCCCTTCCATTTCTGAGGGATTCTGGCATGGCCTCCGGAGGACAGGGCCGCAGCTCATCGCCCTGCAGCCGGAGTTTGACCCCGAGTTCCCTTCTCCCAGCCCTGGGGGCACGCAGGGGCCGGGGTTTGAGGCTGGCAAACCCGAGGCCCTCCAAAGTGCCAGCGAGGCA